AGCCCTCCTGGTTTCCAGCCAGGGCTGCACAAGTAAAGCCCAGAGAGAGGGAAATGTGAACAGCAGCCATGAGGGAGCAGCCCGGGCCCTGTGGCTGGGCTGGGCCTGGAGCAGGCCGACAGTCGGCCTGGCCTGCGAGTTAGCATTTGTTAGGTGTGAATATTCTGTGAAAGCCCTGGGGAAGTATAGAGGAAAGCAGTCTGTGTCATTCCCAACTGCTGGATTTGTCTGTGTGATGGGGATGTAGTGCTCAGCCACCCAGAGCTGCTGTTGGAAAGCGTTGCCATCAATGGCCGCCGCTGCCAGCTCTGCTTCAGAGCCCCTCATCCCCCAAAGCTTGCTCTGTGCACCATCCCAGCAGCACGGGCATTGCCCTCGGCAGTCTAAATTTTGATTTTAGATGGTGACGGATGTTCTTGCTGGGGTTTGTGGCAGCTTGGGCTGTCCTCATCCCTCCTCTGCCATGGGACAGGGTTTGTGGGAGAAAATGGAGGAGGCCTGGGCCTCAGGCTGTGCGAGTCCGGCTGTAGCAGGGTACAGGAGTATTTCTGAGGATCTCCAGCACAGGCCGTGTTTAATAAACCCTGTAAAACTACGTGTTGCACAGATGGTGTAGATGGGTGTTTCTAGGCAGAGTGTTTTGTTACCTAAACACCGATTTATTGGTGACCGCTTTGCTGTGGGGTCATTAACAGCCTGTGCTTCAGGCCTCTTTTTGGGCCTACCACAGCTTTTTAAAAATTAAACATGGAGGGGTGGTCCTGAAGGGTTAATTTGGGATACATCAGCTGGAAACTGGGAGGTGCTGGAGGCCGAGAGGTGCTCGGTAGGTTTATAACTTAGCCACTTCACCTCACTGCTCACCGCTGGGCTGGGAGGAAGCTCTCCAGGGTTGGTGCTTCTGAAGCTCTGGAGATGTTGGTGGGCTCTCCAGGAGCATAAACACAACATTTATGCTGCGTATTTGGAAATTTTCTTAGAAAACTGCCGTGGGAGTGAGTAGGCAGCCTGCACCGACGCACTGCAGACAGCTGCCCGTGAGAGGTATCTCTGCTGCCATCAAAGGAGCCAGCAAACGATAGGCATCTTCTAATGCTGCCTCTCCCTGCCTTCTGCCTCCGTGCTGCAGGTTGGCATTCGGTCTGGGGATCATTATCTTGGCGTTGTTCGAGTCGCACAACGTCACGATGGGCAGCAGTGATCCTGCCTGTGGGATCTGTGTTATCCAGATAAGGTTGCGTGTGGTGACATTTAAAAACCTGAATAAGCGTCCTGCTGTTGAAATACAATGAAATGGCGTTTCAGGATCTTGTTTGGAGAGAAGTGGCCTTCTGCAGTGCCCGGCTGGAGGCTGGGTTTCCTTTGTGGGTGTGCTCAAGTGAAGGGAAGAGGGGGTGTGGGGGAGATGCAGTGCACCACGGGGACCCATCTGGGGTGGAGGTTGGGACTCGTCTGGGGTGGAAGTTGGGACTCGTCTTGGGTGGAAGTTGGGACTCATCTTGGGTGGAAGATGGGACTCGTCTGGGGTGGAAGTTGGGACTCGTCTGGGGTGGAAGTTGGGACTTGTCTTGGGTGGAAGTTGGGACTCATCTGGGGTGGAAGATGGGACCTGTCTGGGGTGGAAGATGGGACCCATTTGGGGTGGAAGATGGGACTCGTCTAGGGTGGGAGATGGGACCTGCCTGGGGTGGAAGATGGGGCTTGTCTGGGGTGGGAGATGGGACCTGTCTGAGGTGGAAGATGGGGCTTGTCTGGGGTGGAAGGTGAGACCCATTTGAGGTGGAAGATGGGACTCATCTGGGGGGGAAGATGGGACCTGTCTGGGGGGGGA